TATAAATAATTGAAATGTGCGTAGTGTGATAATTATGTCGTTGATCTGTTCCGGTAGTTAACTAAATTAATTTTGATTTTTACTGATTTACACTGACGGATGTTAATAATTTTTGTCAATGCTACAACAACTGCTATTTTTACTGATATAATTGTTATTCTAACATATAAATGTATCGATAGATTAATTGCGGCAACAATGTGTACATTTCTATTACGGCGTATACAGACGCTGTAAATAAAGCGTCAAAAGTGAAGAAACCTCACAGCCCGTTCTTAAAAAAAATTTCATTGACAATATTTGGTGCCAACGAATCAATTCTAGTATCACTGGGCGAAAATGTAATCGCACAAAAACCGCAGCAAAATCTCGTCTCGACGAACAAAAATTAAAAGCTGTTTACGGTAATTTTCAACTAGACATAATATTTTTTTTGTCTTGTGCAATTCTTAGGTGTGATGTTTAATAAGTAAATAATGTGAAAAATTATTTATTGTAGATATCTTTGAATTTTATTTACTGAACGAGCGAAACTTGAACCCAGTTGAAGTAGCTGAGGAGCTTAAACATGCTGGATCTTATGTAGCCCAAAAAATTTAGGATTTGAGTCGCCCTGTGCGTCCATTAAAAAACAAAACACAAAGTTTAGTTCAAGTCGATGAAGTTGAAGAAGTAATACAGCTAAATAATGAAAGTAATGTGGAAAATGATGCTAACCAGGGAGAAAAATCTAAAGAAATAGTCAGTGAAGAAGAAAATGAAAGTGTGAAATATGATCATGAAAACAAAGATAAGAGAATATCCTAAAGCGCGAGATTTAAAATCTCATAAACTAAATTTTCTATTTACATCAGTACAATGTTACTGATGTTGCACAGCATCGAATATCGATCTTAACAATTTTCAGCAAGAATAAGACTCAATCGATATGAATAAAACGCCAAAAAAGGGAGAAGAAAAAGGACAAAATTTTTCTAGTGACATTCAACAAACTTTCAGTGGCAATGTAAACAAACTAAATAGTACAATTCAATAATATCAATATGAGGATCATCCAAATTTTACGCAAGACGTTTTCTTTTACGGGATACTTTCTTTCTTAGTAAACAATCGAAAGATAAAATTATATACTTTCAATAAAATTTAGAATGACTATAAGTTTATGAGAAATGTCAAAATATTTTTTTATACGCAAAACAACTAATATAATAACATCAAAATAATCACGTTTGATTCTATGTATAACATTATGTTACCTTAGATCATCATACCGTTAGATCAAAATACAACTATATAATCACAAAAATGTATGTTTAAGTTAGTGTCATCAATAAGTATACATCATTTCAGTTGTATAAGTCAACGGCCTAATTTTGTCTGAAATCAGGACAAATCCTAAGTAATTTTATTGAAACATTGTGCCTTGTGTATAATGCTTTAGTATCTTATTCCCAAGCGTTTCATATTTTCAAGTTTGTATACATTCATATACTTGGAGGCACTGAAGGCTCTCTAAAGTACGTAATCATAAATCAGGAATAATTTATACAGACGTCTATATTTGTGTTTAATAGTATAAAGATGTATATATGCACGAAAGTGAGATATTTCATGAGAAGGAATAGTATATTACGTGCCTAGGCCAGTAAAGTAAAGAAGTCACCAGATCGCCTGAATATTACCAACCTAGGCGAAGCCTAGGGCGGTAATCGGGTGATCTGAGGCTTCTTTACATTACTGGCCGTGGTGCGTATATGATTTACAGGCTAGTAGCCAGAAAGTGACTTCTCCTGTCCACGTAGCGGACAGAAAGGAGTCTCTTTCTGGCTACTAGCCGGTAAAAGAAGTTTCCCATGACGTTTATAGCCTTTTTATTGGTTCTGTGATTCGTCGAGACTCGTCAAGAGCGAGTAAATTAAAAAATGAGATTTTGAAAAATGATTGAAAAGTTAGTAGAATTAGAAAAAATTAAGACTATAAAATTAAGATTACTTATTGTTTGATTTTTCTTGATCTAAAATAGATTGTGTAGTTAATATACGTTGATTATTTTTTATATTAATTATGTTAAATTGTAATAACGAAAAAAATAAAAATTGAGGTACTATTGTGAAAATTATCTGGAGTAAGATACTATTTAATTTGTATGTACTCTTAAATATAACCATCTCAAAAAAAAGTATGTTAATTCACGAAGCCAAGAACCTGATGTATTAGTTGTAGTATATATAATTTAAAAAAAAAAATTTTCAATTATGTAATAGTGATTTTCTGAAAAAAGATCCGAATATTAAATAGCAACAAAATCGGCTTTCCTTACTTCTAAAATCCCAGAAAACGCAANCGTATCGCGATTGATATCTACTAAATATAGGCTCAACAATGTTCTGCACGCAGATCCGAAGCTTTAATCCCACTTGCTTACTATCTTGCTTCGCTGGAGAAAGCATCAGATCGCCTTCTGCATGGACATTCAAATAATATTTCGGCAGATCTGGATCGACATTCGTGACGAGGACCTCCAGCGTATCTTGTGGAGCACTGATAACTGTAGCCCACCGAAGCACTATCAGTTTCTTACTATGACTTACGGCGAAGCCAGTGCTCCCTATCTCTCTCTGGGGACGATTTTACAGCTTTGGAAGGATAAAGACCATGCTTGTCTCGAGGCCGTGCCTATCGTCAAACAAGATCGACACGTCAATGACATTTTTTCTCAATGGTTTATCAGTGGTTTTTAAGGGGGCTTATTTGAAATTCGACAAACTAATTATGTCATAATGTCACATAATTATATAATTATAGTAATTTATTACATCAATGATGAATGAAATATGTTACATCATTACACATGTATATTTCGCGTTACATATCATTTTAATGGTTGTTAAGGATGCTTATTTTGCATTCGATAAACAAATAATGGCAAAATGTCATTAAATAATTATATGAATAATTTATATATATATTATATAGTTGTATTGACGGAAGTGAGTCTGAGCCCACCCTCTCTCCCCCTCTTCCCCTCACCACCCCCTCAGTTCCCCCTTAGCTTCCGGTTGATTTTCGTAGTCATTTGCTTGTTTAAACGTCATTTTTAATCAAATTATATCTCACTCCACACAACCCAGGGCGCTTTCTGGTCGCTCTGATTATTAATAAAATAACTTAATTAGAGCAATTGCCAATCTCCTTACAACCCAAGGCGCTTTTTGGTTGTTTTAATTTTTAATAAAATAAATAAAGTAAAGCAAGCACCAATCGCTACCTATCTGAGGGCGCTTTCTGGTTGCTCTTATTGTTAATAAAGCAGATAAAGTAGAGCAAGCCCAAATTCTCACACAACCGATGCAAAAACAAGTATACGAAACATTAATGCAAGTGGTGGACAATACTGGTCGTCTATTTTTCCTTGACGCACCTGAAGGAACAGGGAAAACATTTGTCATTTCATTGATTTTGGCCACTATTCGATCAAGATGTGACATAGCTTTGGCGTCAGCATCATCTGGAATTTAGGCGACTCTTCTAGATGGCAGTCGTACTGCACATTCTGCGCTTAAGTTGCCACTCAATTTAAACATAATTGATACTCCAACATGCAATATTTCTCGATCCAGTGCAATGCGAGAATTGTTGATGCAATGCAAGCTCATTGTTTGGGATGAGTGCACAATGGCACATAAGAAATCACTTGGAGCACTTAACTTTACACTGAAGGATCTACGGCGAAATAACAACATCTTTGGCGGCTTGATGATATTGTTGGCAGGAGATTTCAGGCAGACGCTGCCAGTTATTCCCCGTGGAACGCCTGCAGATGAATTGAATGCTTGCCTAAAGGGATCACCTTTATGGAATAACGTAAAAACATTATCGCTAACCACTAATATGAGAGTTCAACTTCAAAATGATCAAAGTGCTGCACAATTTTTCAAACAATTGTTAGCTGTTGGAAATGGAAAAGTCCCAGTTGATGCGACATCTAGATTAATTAATCTTACCAATGACTTTTGCCGATTTGTAGACTCTCAATTACCTCTTATTAAAAATGTTTTCCCAAACATTATTGACAGTTATCAGAATTATGCTTGGTTAAGTCAACGAGCAATTCTTGCCACAAAGAATAATGATGTACACGCACTGAATTTCACCATTTAATTAAAAATTGCTGGTGATTTGGAGACATACAAATCCGTTGATTCTATAACAAATCCCAATGATCTAGTAAATTATCCAACGGAGTTCTTAAACTCTCTGGAGTTACCAGGATTTCCACCACAGAACTTGCAACTCAAAGTTGGTACAGTTATTATGATATTGCGTAATTTGAACTCACCGCGACCTTGGAACGGTACTCGACTTTTGGTAAAAAGACTTATGCCGAATTTGATTGAGGCAACCATTAATAACGAAAAGTACGTAAATTATACATACTGATACACAGTAGATACATTTAAAAAAACGTCCAATTTCAATGACAACATTATCATAAATTTTCATAAAGTCCTATGCTGTGACTTGAAAAACAATAATAAAAGTATGATAAATTTTTTTATAATCAACGGAAACTGAATCTTCAGTATGCGATCATATAATTTTATACATCCTGATACGTAACTCTATAAAACAAAATCTATTTTATGTTTATGCTTATAAATTGATTGGATTGTATACGTATAATATTCGGAAAAACTATAAAAGTGTTATCTTCATACGCGTATAAAAAATAAAAAATTTTGTAAATATACATTTCACATACTGATAAACAGTAGATAAAAGTAATACTAGAATTTAAAAAATATCCAATTTCAATGACAACATTATCATAAATTTTTATAAAATCGGATGCTGTCACTTGAAAAATGATAATAAAACTATGATAGATTATCATACAATAAATGGAAAATGAATCTTGAGAATGCAATCACATAATTTCATACATTCTGATACGTAACTTTATTAAACAAAATCTATTTCAAATTTATCATATAGACTTATAGGTCAAACATATTGAAGTAGCTGAGGAGCTTAAACATGCTGGATCTTATGTAGCCCAAAAAATTTAGGATTTGAGTCGCCCTGTGCGTCCATTAAAAAACAAAACACAAAGTTTAGTTCAAGTCGATGAAGTTGAAGAAGTAATACAGCTAAATAATGAAAGTAATGTGGAAAATGATGCTAACCAGGGAGAAAAAACTAATGAAATAGTCAGTGAAGAAGAAAATGAAAGTGTGAAATATGATCATGGAAACAAAGAAAGTGGCAGTTCAGACTCTGATAGTAGCAGTAGTGATGATCAGTAATGATTTAATGTTAACTAGTTTTTGCATACATTTTTTTCTTAATTTATCGATACCTCTTTTGTTTGCATGTATGTTTTTCAAATGTTCGAGTTTTAGAATTTTTGATAGTATAATAACCATAGGAAAATCCAACGTTAAACGTATAAGTATCATATAGAATTACATTTTTGATTATTCCAACAATCGGAATATGCGTAGCCAATTGCCAAGAGAATGGTTCTTGAGAATAATTTTTGACAGGTTATGTTATAGATAACAATAAACAATGTAGCAGTAACCGTTTGAATAAAAACAAAGATAAAATTACTATCTAAAGTACAACTTTCAAACGTTTTTTAATTAATTTAAGTTAACCGACCTTTATTGTGTAGATTATCATAGTTACATATTTCTTTATGATTGACTATTCTTTAGCTTTCTAATACAACGATAAGGATTTTGTGATACCATACATATGTTGATTAAAGAAAAAAATTGTACATTTTATAAGTTTGACAATTCCACCAAAGCAATAACTAGGTACTGAAGGCAGTTGTCCAAAAATTTTCTCACGATTTTGTTCAAACATTAAGTATATATATTTTTGAAGCCACTATCTTTGTATAGTTAAAATTTTGAGAAGCCCAGCAATACCATATAATTGTGTACCAAAACGTAACTTTTAACAGGGGAAGTAAAGAGTAAACCTCGGATTGAAATAAATTTTTACTGAAGTATCGAAAATTGCTCTCAACATTTCTATTAACTGCAGATATTAATTGAAATTTTCATTTATGCTCGTGTGTGAAAAGTTTGGGAGATTCCAGCCATCCGTTTTTTAAAAAATATAATACATGGAAGTAAAATTGAGAACAATTAAAAGACAGAACTAGTACGTCTACGTTAGATCAATGTTTTCCGAGATGTATTTAAAAAAGGCATTTAATTCCTACAACTATCTTAACATAATCACAGTGGTTTAATGCACATCCCTGCAGGAGTTACTCCATAGCTATGATCCTATTTTTCAGGTACTAAAGATAGATACTAAAAGACTTTTATACAGTTGTAGTATCTCCACCAGCGTAAAAAAGATGGCGGTACCTGAAAAGTAGGGAGGGTACAAAAGTAATATTTATTTACATTGGTTTCATACGCATGCTGCTGCATTTTATGACGAGAGCGTGTAATTCATAAAAAAAAGTTATAGTTAAATGTCGACTCAATACAAGATTCATTATATCATAAGACTTTATGTAAATGCAATATTAATGCTAATCTTACTGCGGAATGTAAAGATTATATACGTAAAATATTCGGAAAAAC